TTTTTTTTTTTTTTTTAGTTTATCAGTTCAAAATCAGGGACAGCAAGAAAAGACAGAAACAAACACACAGCATGCGCTCACTCAGAATTGTTTAGTGGGCGTGGCTATAACTGTAATTCTAACACACTTCTCAGAAAAATTAATATTTATTAACATAAGTGTGAAAGAGAGAGATTTTGTTTATTTTTTTTTCGTTGAATTTTCACAGAGAGTCAGTGAGTCACTCAACAAACAATGAAACAACTCCGCTCTGATCATAAAGACTGAAGAACAGGCTGAAATAAAAGAAATTGGTTCTACTTGTAGACTACATCTCAATAAGAGTGTTTATCTTATGCAAACAGATCCACTTATAAATCCACGAATTTTCAGTATTTTTTTTTCTTGTCAAGCACGCTTCCGAGTATCTTTTACCCTAACCATGTGTATTTTATGGTCGACGTTCCTGTCTCGCTTCATTTTTCATTCAGAATGGACTTGAAATTGGCTCTAAAGTCTCCGTTTTGCTCTCCATATTTATTTCTAAAGAGGATTTTTCTGAATCATTGCGTACTTCTGGTTTGCCTTCTTTAACGAGCTTAACTTTTCTATTTATTTATCTCTCTTTTTCTAAAACAGTTTTTATTTTTAGTACTTCGGTTTCTTTTTTTCAATTCCGGCGAAACAAAGCCCTCTCGTGGCTAGAGCGATAGTTTTGAATTTCAGGATTTTATTTTTCATGTCCTTTCAAATTTGTTTGGCTCTTTTCGCTTCTAATAATGATTCGTTTTTATACCACCAGGAGTTCCTGAATTTCCCTTTCGTATTTTCTACAATTGTTGTGACTACACAAAGTTTGAATTTGAGGATTTTATTTTTCATGTCCTTTCAAATTTGTTTGGCTCTTTTCGCTTCTAATAATGATTCGTTTTTATACCACCAGGAGTTCCTGAATTTACCTTTCGTATTTTCTACAATTGTTGTGACTACACAACACGTGCGTTTTTGTTGTTGGATTTGTTTGTAGTTAAGCGCAAAGCTACACAATGGGCTATCTGTGTTGTGCCTACCAGAGTATCGAAACCCGATTTTTATCGATATAAGCCATCAGACTTACCGCTGAGCCAATGGGGGCTTGTTCTTAGGAGTACAATCAGTCGTTGTACAGTAAAGAATACAAGTTTTTTCTATTTGTGTTAGAGCCAACTCAATATCGCAAGAAGGCAATTGTCCATAAAATTGTTCTTGTTAAAATTAACTTGTTTCAATTAAACTTAATAAATAAATAAGGACTCAAATTTCTAAGTGTTTTTAAACATAACCGTTATTTCCCGATAGCACCACTATCCAATAGTGTGTTGTCTGTTAGTCAGTCGGTAGACACTAGAATGACGTCAGTTACACGTGGGCATCCCATGAATCACGAGAAGAATTATGCACTCTGTAGGCTACATGACAGCACGACATATGAACTTCAAAAACAAGAAATAAAAATATTTGTTACTCTTAATTTTGGTTTTATTTACTTTTGAAACAGAACACCTCGAGGGGGCCGTGTGCAAGTACATGATGTGTACTAATAAACATTACCGGTGTTTTTTTAATGTACATTTTGGCACGAAAAGAGAATAATACAGAGAAAGTGTTTAAATAAATACTAGGCTCTGTTACAATTATACAGCTAAAACATATAGATTTGTACGGGAAACGTGATGTATGAATGATATACGTAGGTTATACACAACGTAATTTATTCGGGATTTCACCGAGGGTTTCCAGCATATAGTATTGGAAAAAAGTATAAACATATACAACCCGACACTTAAGGAGCTCAGAACATCAGATATTAAATGCATAAGACCTCATAGAACGGTTTATTAATCACGGTCTAAGCGTGTATTTTAAATAAAATAACTTACCGGTGCTTGTTTAGGTCTCTGCGATATATTTTAACTTCCTAGTCTGTGTTTTTTGTTTTTTTCTTCTTCTAAGAAATATTATGTCATATATACAGCTTGGAGACGATTATAAGATTGATGTTGTAGAAAGAACTGGTGATGAATTACTTTAAAGTTAAGCCATATTTCTACTACGTTAGGAACGATGCTGTCACATGCGGAACGAAACTAAGCCGATTCTATTAGTTTAACAGAAACTTGAATTTGATTGGACGAAACAAGCGTCTTTTTAGTTGGACTCATGATACATATATCTAGCTGATTTCTAATTAATTGGTTACTTTTCAGACAGTATAGGTTATTTATGTGTAGATAACCACGAAGATGAATTAATATTAAACGTTTATTACGATAAAGATACGCGTTTAGTGAGTTCAAGTCTACTTTCACGCCGTGTTTTAGTTAAGCGAATTTACATATTATTGAGTTACGCGGAAGTTTATATTTGTCGTATTTTTGACTCATTTCGCTTTTCATAAACATCGACAGATTATTGTTACTGATATGGTAAAATGTTTCATTGCTAAGCCTTTTCTCGTAACAAAACTAAACATTTTTCTTGGTATTAAAAGCTAAACGATACATCATATATTACTGCAGAGAGCGGTCGATACGGCGAAACTGATTTCCTGGGGTTTAATAGACAATTAAAGAAAAATTCAATAATCAATTTAATTCGTTGAAACAACAAACTAATGAAAACGTGTGGGTACTAACAGACACAAGGTATTACTCAGGTATGTATGAAAGAAAGAATATATACATATATGTATTTATATTTATAAAAAAACTGGAGTTTAGAGAAAATGTAAGTGAAACTAAGAAGGAAATATCGACTAACACGAATATAATTAAAGACAGAAGATACAAACTAAAACTAGGCTAACACGAATATAATTAAAGCAGAAGATACAAACTAAAACTAAACTAACACGAATATAATTAAAGACAGAAGATACAAACTAAAACTAGACTAACACGAATATAATTAAAGACAGAAGATACAAACTAAAACTAGACTAACACGAATATAATTAAAGACAGAAGATACAAACTAAACTAGACTAACACGAATATAATTAAAGACAGAGGATACAAACTAAA